TCGAGACCATCCTGGTCAACATGGTGAAACCCCGTCTCTACTAAAAATACAAAAAATTAGCTGGGCATGGTGGTGCGTGCCTGTAATCCCAGCTACTCAGGAGGCTGGGGCAGGAGAATTGCTTGAACCCAGGAGGCGGAGGTTGCGGTGAGCCGAGATCGCGCCATTGCACTCCAGCCTGGGTAACAAGAGCGAAACTCTGTCTCAAAAAAAAAAAAAAAAAAAAAAAAAATTCTGTCAATGCTGATGTTTCCAGATTAGGCGTTTGTAATATGTTACAGCAGTAAGACGGTTCCCTTGTTTGATCTTTTGCAGAACAGACTGCAGTAGAGCCTGATTGCTCACTTAATCCCTCTGCTCCTCATTCACCCACTTTAGAGAGTAATCAGATGTACTTATTTCCCTTCTGGGCTTTAACACCAAGTACTATGTGTCCTTCCTCACTCTCAATTTCATTTGTCTTTTATCCCCCTACATTCCCCTCCTTTCCACAGTATAATCACAGTAGAATATTGTCATTTCCTTTAGTAAATGTTTACTATGGCTTTCTGAATTTGCAAATTAAAAACAGCTAACACTCACCAAAAATGTTCTGTTTTACTTATTAAAATCCCTTCTCATATAATACAGTTTTCATGAACTGAGGATGACAGATTAATGCCATCATTTTGAATAAGCTGCAAGTACTATATTGAACATAAATGAGTTACTGAAATGATATGTTTTGAAACTTAATCATAGTTCCGTCTCTGAAAGGGTGGATGGCTTTGAGCAGAACTGTTGATTTCCAATGTAATTATTTCTCAGTTAATTGTGGCATTACCCTGCAGACATTACTTACACTTGATTTTATTTTCTTTCTACTAGTGTAAGAGAATCTTTTTAATATCCTGCCCCCCACTTTATTTTTGAGATGGAGTCTCGCTCTGTCACCAGGCTAGAGTGCAGTGGCACAATCTCAGCTCACTGCATCCTCCACTTCCCCAGTTCAAGTGATTCTCCTGCTTCAGCCACTTGAGTAGTTGGGACTAGAGGAAAACACCACCACACCCAGCTAATTTTTGTATTTTTAGTAGAGACAGTGTTTCACCATGCTGGCCAGGATGGTCTCCATCTACTGACCTTGTGATCCGCCCTCCTTGGCTTCCCCAATTGCTGGGATTACAGGTGCGAGACACCATGCCCAGCCTTTAATACACTTTTTAAAGATTTGTCTAATCATCAAGAACTTTTTCAAGATTTGTCTAATCATCAAGAACATTAGTAAATAACAGTGATTTTAAAAGTCCTCTAACAGTAACTACTAGTATTCCACTAAGAAGCAAAGATTATCCATCAAAACATATTAACAGGCCGGGCACGGTGGCTCAAACCTGTAATCCCAGCACTTTGGGAGGCCGAGGAGGGTGGATCACGAGGTCGAGAGATCGAGACCATCCTGGTCAACATGGTGAAACCCCGTCTCTACTAAAAATACAAAAAATTAGCTGGGCATGGTGGTACGTGCCTGTAATCCCAGCTACTCAGGAGGCTGAGGCATGAGAATTGCCTGAACCCAGGAGGCGGAGGTTGCGGTGAGCCGAGATCACGCCATTGCACTCCAGCCTGGGTAACAAGAACGAAAACTCCGTCTCAAAAAAAAAAACAAACAAACAAACAAACAAAAACATATTAACAAATGCCTTTTAAACATCTACTCTGTTTCAGATTTATTTTTCCTTTAGTCAATAGGTTTGCTTCTTACTCCACTCATAGATGGATCCTGGTTTATCGTTGTTGACGTTTTAATTGGCTACCAGAGCTGGTTGTTCATATTTAATGGAAGATGTGTGTATACTTACCTATAACTGAGAATGTGCTGAACTTAGTAGCATAAGTGGGTGCTGAATAATGAGAACATGGACACAGGGAGGGGAACATCACACACCAGAGCCTGCCGAGGGGTGGGGAGGGTAGGGGAGGAATAGCAGGGGGCGGGGATTGGAAAAGGATAACATTAGGAGAAACACCTAATGTATGACAGGGGACGGGTGCAGCAAACCACCACAGCACGTGTATACCTATATAACAAACATGCACGTTCTGCACATGTACCCCAGAACTTAACACATAAAATTTATAAAGAATATGTTTTCTTAAATATTAAAAAAAGATTTCTGTAATAATTTGAAACCATTTCATTAGCTATAGAGTTATCCTTTTCTTAAATGTTTAAAAAGAAGCTGATATTTGAAGATGTTAGCTCACTGGTGACCTCTTTCTTTTTCCTCCATTTATCTTAGTACTCACTGTTTTCTAGGTTTAAATTAAGCACTTTGTTTTTACAGAAACTCTTACACTTTTTCAATATTTTCAAATATGTTAACATAGGTTTTTTTAAACTATGTCCTTGAAACCTTAAAACAATCCCTAGATATTTCTATTTAAATTAAGTTCCCAGGAAGTTTAATAATTGTTTTCAACAAATGGCTCTTCTATCTATTTAATTCTATAGGTTTAGGTAATAATTTTCTGGACACAAGCATTATGAGGAAAATAATTTTTGGCTGGAGGAAGAGGCTCACACTTGTAATCCCAGCACTTTGGGAGCCCCAGGCAGGCAAATCACCTGAGATCAGGAGTTCGAGATCAGCCTGACCAACATGGTGAAACCCCATCTCTACCAAAAATACAAAATTAGCCAGGTGTGGTGGCAGGCACCTGTAATCCCAGCTACTTGGGAGGCTGAGGCAGGAGAATCACTTGAACCTGAGAGGTGGAGGTTGCAGTGAGCCAAGAAGGCGCCATTGCACAAAAATGAAACTCCATCTTAAAAAAAAATTTTTTTTAACTTTGTGGATTTTAAAGGGATTTTTGTAGCTATAAATTTGCAGATTTTGGTTTTGCTTTGTGTTTGGAGAATTTTCCTAAGTTCATTTTTGTACTGTAATTTTGTATTTGGCTGCTTTACTATTTTTTGTTGTACTGTGGGTATGTACCAACAGGGAGTATACTAAAGGAGCAACAGGATATTTTCACTCATTTTCAGTGGTTAGAATTCAGTGCCTACTACGTACTTCTGAATAATTGATGAAAGAAAGCTGCCTTGACACAGCACTCTATTTCACCATCAAAAGGATATGAGGCCAGGTGCGGCGACTCATGCCTGTTATCCCAGCACTTTGGGACCCCAAGGCAGGCAGATCACCTGAGATCAGGAGTTCAAAACCAGCCTGGCCAACATGGTGAAACCCCGTCTCTACTGAAAATACAAAAATTCGCCGGGTGTGGTGGTGTGCACCTGTAATCCCAGCTACTTGGGAGGCTGAGGCAGGAGAATTACTTGAACCAAGGAGACAGAAGTTGCAGTGAGCCGAGATTATGCCACTGCACTTCAGCCTGGGTGACAGGGCAAGACTCTGACACACACACACACACACACACACGCACACACACACACACACACACACGGTATTAGGCTTTGGTTTGAGATATAACCCACATACTAAAATATTAATATTTATATCTTTATACTCACAAACTTAAGTATTTATATCATAGTGTGTCCTTTATATTCCAAACCAAAGCCTAATTATAGGTTTGTATCTTAGTGTGTGAGTTATAAACCTTATAAATATAAACTTTAATATAGGATATTAAGCACTTTAACATAAATAAGGTATCAAGTAACTGTATGTACCTTTTATCATGGCTACGGTCTTCTTCACATACAACCATCCTAGAATTCCGGGAAGGAAATTCTTTGGTAGAAGAAAACATGTAGCCTAGGAATATGTTTAGATATGCCCATTCCTTGACTGATCTCATTACAGGTATGCTCTCCCAGCAAGAGTCGTGCTGAAAGCTTCTTCCTTTGCTTCTTTTACTCGAATTCGACATCCTAACTAAAATACAACCCCTGAAATAAGATTTTCCATCTTCACATTATTTTTCTCAGGAATTACATAGGTTTTCACAATAATGTCCTAATTTGTTCATTTTCCCAAGAAAGATGGCATTTCCCCTTCCAGGAACCTGCTAAGATGATTGCCCTGCCTGCCTGAAGTAGGTGCTGAAACAATTCCACCCAAAAACATCAAGTTCCGCGTCAAATACTACCAAGCATTAAAGCAAACTACTTTTGATACTCTAATAACCAGAATTGTTTAGGAAAGCTGTAGTCAATTAAGTTTATTGTTGGAGAAACAGCATTTTGTAATCCTTCTGTAAACTAGCTCTTTCTCAGAAATTGAGTGGCTCTGAAAAGAGCCTTTGATTTCAGCTTTGGGTTTTTTTGTTTTTTTTCTTCTATACATTAGACATTCAAACCACTCACTGGCCTTTACAACTTGCATAGATACTCACACTGGTCTTTGTGGTAGTGGCTTCCAACCTTCTGGGACAGCAGCACAGCCTGGATGTTGAGCAAGACGCCACCCTAAGCCGTTGTCACTCGGCCCAGAAGCTGGTTGAGCTCCTAGTCGTTACGGATGACCAGCTGAGGATGGCGAGGGACGATGAGGGTCTTCTTGTGGAGGACCGTGTTGCCTGACAACGCTAGGATGCCGGCGGCCAGATACTCCAGTACCGCTGCTGGGTACGCCTGCGCGCGGGCCCCAACCCATGGTTGCCCTCTCTGAGCAGCCGGTGGACCACGCCCACAGGAAACTGTAGGCCCTCTCTGAATGAACGGGATTGTGCTCCAGCGCGTGACTTTCCCTCCAGCTTCCCTCGTCTAAGACATAGCTCAAAAATAAAACTTAGAAGGGAAAAAGCCGTTAAAACGTCCTCAACGTATTTCTAGTCTGATGGCAGATTGTGGCTTATTATCTGATTGATTGGCGGATAGCCCTCTATCCAATCAGAGAACCTTACCGCTATGGCCTTATTTAGGTACACACTCTATTATCCAATCAGATGTTGGATGCAAATGACGCAGGTTGAGGCCGTGCCTATAAATACCACACTTCGCTCCTGTCAAACGTCAGTTACTGGCCTACCATAGAACTTGTAGAATAAACATGCCAGACTTTACTTCAGAGAGCACTACCATTTCCAAAACGGGCTTCAAGAAGGCAGTGGCTAAAACTCAAAATGAGGCAGGCAAAAAGCGCAAGAAAAGCCGCAAAGGCAACTATTCTATTTACATCTACAAGGTGCTGAAGCAGGTTCACCCCCACACTGAAATCTCTTCCAAGGCTATCAGTATTATGAATTCTTTTGTTACTGACAATTTTGAGCGCATTGCCAACGAGGCTTCCCGCCTGGCGCATTATGACAAGTGCTCAACCATCACCTCCAGGGAGATCCAGATGGCCGTGCGCCTGCTGCTGCCCGGGTAACTAGCCAAACACGCAGTGTTAGAGGGCACCAAGGCCGTCACCAAGTGCACCAGCTCCAAGTAAAACATGACCTAACCAGCAGATGAGCTCCACAAACCAAAGGCTCTTTTAAGAGCCACTGTGGGCCGGGCGCGGTGGCTCAAGCCTGTAATCCCAGCACTTTGGGAGGCCGAGGTGGGTGGATCACGAGGTCAAGAGATCGAGACCATCCTGGTCAACATGGTGAAACCCCGTCTCTACTAAAAAAAATACAAAACATTAGCTGGGCATGGTGGCGCGTGCCTGTAATCCCAGCTACTCGGGAGGTTGAGGCAGGAGAATTGCCTAAACCCAGGAGGCGGAGGTTGTACTGAGCCGAGATTGCGCCATTGCACTCCAGCCTGGGTAACGAGTGAAACTCCATCTCAAAAAAAAAAAAAAAAAAAAAAAAAAGAGGCACTGTGAAGTTTCTAATAGGGCTGTAGGCTGTTTTATGAGTATGCCTCATTGCCAGACTGATAGATTAGGCAAACACCATTGTCTTTAACTCTAAACTTAGCATTAACTATCTGCAGCAGTTTTGGTGAAAGCTAGTCTCACAGCTGAAGCAATTCAAAGGGAGCTCCCATAATCCTGGGTTCATAGGGATATTCTTCCTGTGGACACTGCTATGGGGAAATAAAGCTTGCCATTTTGTCTACAACATTTTCTGTTTCAAACCCTGTATCATGACCGTAAAAGAGGCCTGGAGCTCCCCACTTAGGGAAGTCTGGCGTTGAGCAATAGGCTGTTTGCTTTCTCTTGGCTTTGGCCATAATGTGTGCCTAACATCCACCAAGTTCAGGTGGATCTGTCTCAGCACCTTGTAGATGTAAACGGAATAGCTTTCTTTGCAGCATCTCGTGCTTTTCAGGCTCCTTTTCTCACATATCATAAAAAAGTGATCAAGCTAACTGCCCTTGAACTGCCAGGATTTGAGTTCCAAAGCCCAAGGCTTCTGCATCTCTTGTGAACTCCAGAAGAGTTAACTGTTTTATTCAATGTAACAGTTCTTATCTTGCTTAGCCACTTAAGAATTCTCTCCCCAGGGATTTCCAGTCAATCCCAACAGAAGTATTTCTGAACTGTGTTCCATATATCCATGAGTACCACCCTATTCACATGGTTGTCCAAGCCCAAAATGTATTTTTTCCCTGGTAGTCTAACCTTCATCCACTTCAATCTCTCATGATATGGTAATTTTACTTCCTACATGTTTCTGTTGTCTGATTATTCACTATCTTCACTGCTACCATTTGCGTCTGCATACTCATGATGTCTCCCCTGGATTACAGTTTCTAATCAGTATTGCTGCACTTAATCTTGCCTCCCTAAAATTCACTGTCCACCCAACTATTTTCATTTTTTAAATTGACAAATAAAAATTATGTGCTGTGTACAACATGTTTTGAAATATGTATACATTCTCGAATGGTTCAATCAATCTAATTAACATATGCATTACCCCACATACTTGTTATGAAAACACTTAAAATCTATGCTTTATAATTTTCAAGGATACAATATATTGTCACCAACTATAATCACCATGTTGTACAATAGAGTTCTTGAACTTACTCCTCCTAAGTGAAATTTCATAACCTTTGACCAGTATCATCCCACTAATCCCCAACTGCAGCCCCGGGTAACCAACACTCTGCACTCTACTTCTAAGAGTTCAACTTTTTAAAATTCCACTTATTAGATCATACAGTATTTGTCTTTCTGTGCCTCACTCATTTCACTTAACCTCCAGGTTCATTCATGTTCCTGCAAATGGCAGGATTCCTTTTCTTTTGTAAGACTGAATAGTCTTCTATTATGCATATACGCCACATTTCTTTATCCATTCATCTGCTGATGGACATTTAGATTCTTTCTATATCTTGTCTATTAAGAAGAATTCTGCAATTAATATGAGAGTAGAGATACCTCTTTGAGAAACAGATTTTATTTTCTTTCAATATATACCTAGTAGGATTGCTGGATTATATGGTAGTTCTATTTTTAATTTTTTGAGGAAATTTTGTACTGTTTTCCATAATGTATGCACTAAAATTGACCATTTTCTATCTTATTTGAAGCACAAATATTACTGTGTCACACATTTTAAAAAATATTTTGAAAACTCTTTCAATCTGTTATTTTATTAATAGTACTAAATTTATATTTTATTGAATGCATTTAGAAATTTATATTAATGGGCTGGTCATGGTGGCTGACACCTATAATCCAAGCACTTTGGAGGCCGAGGCAGGTGGATCACCTGAGGTCCAGAGTTCAAGACCAGCCTCACCAACATGGTGAGACCCTGTCTTTAAAAAGAAAAAAAAAAGAAATTTATATTAATGTGTATAGGATTAGATAGACTTGCAAAGAAATCCATAGTGCAATGAAAGTTTTGAATTTTGGAGCTTTTTGGATTACAGATGCTCAACCTGTATTGCAAATATGTAATATCCAAGAAAATATACCAGGAAACCAATAGGAAAATAAGTCAATTCAGTGAAGTAGTAGGATATTTAAAAAATAATGCACAGAAAGTGGTGTTATTTAACAAAAAATATTTTAAAAATGAATAGTTACCACCTCATTTACAATAACAAAAACAAAATACCCAGAATTATATTTAACTCTTTAAAATGCCAAATATATATTAAAGTGGGTGATCAGTTCACACCCATCCCGTGGTCTTCTGTAGGTGAATGACCCAGGCAGCACCTGAACTAGGCTCAGTTCTAGAATATGGAGAGGAATGGGATCCTCTGGGAAGACCCCAAGACCCAGTAGAAAAGACTGACTTTTCCTGCTTTTACTTTATCCTATCCTGTCTGGGTGAACACTTGGAATTGTGTGACCAGCATGATGTCAGAGTCAGAGTATAGAGAACAGAGGCAAGACTGCAGGGCAGTGGAGCCAGGGCTGTGATCATCCTATTAGTGGAACTTCTCTGCCTCTAAGTGTTCTATTTGGTGGCATTGCTTACTATCTCAACAAGTCCGGCTAGCATTTCCTGTTATTTGCAGCCAAAAATACATCTGATATAAAAGCTACATGAGGTTTGGTCTGAAAAGAGTTTTTATTTGCTTGTATTACTACTTATCGATTGCCCAGATAATCCTAAAAGTCCTTGGGTAATCAGGGTAGCCTATTGACAGTGGTCACAAACTTGACAAGTTTATTCGGCAGCTGTGTGATACCTGCTGTTTTCCAGGGTGTTAGAAAAGCAGGAATCCCCGATTACAGATGATCCCATTGCCAATACAAGGTGGGCAAAGATGCCTCTTCCCCTCCCACTTGTCACCTCCTTGGAAGATTTCCCAGCTAAAGCATGCAGGGGTTGTGTAGGGGCTGCCTTACTGTGCACACAAGTGTGGAAGCACTTAATAGGTCTTGTTGTACATTGATATATCCTATTAAATGGTACTGTTTAAAGCATATAGGCATCCAAAATTCCATTGATAAAAGTTAAATAAACATGAGTTAAACTGAGAATTCCAGTTAACCACAGGTTTCCAGGTACTATTTGATCTGTTTTCAAGGCAGCTCATATTAGTTTAATGCTTGTCAGCTCTTATAAATGTAGTCCAAAGTCCAGTAACACAATGAAACCGTTATAAAGTGAAGAAAATTACAGAACACTTTAAATTCATTTCAATCCTGCTAACCAGACTAGTGGGTTCTCCAGAGTTCCCCAAATCATTTCCATATCTTGACTTACCTATGACACAAAAACGACCTCCCTCCCAACTATTCCTTTTGTAGGGTCTTAAAATTTGGAATCACTGTCCAAGTTGTCTACGTCGTTGCGCTTTCACCTTTACAGATGTACTGCTAACCTTAAACTTACCAGTGTCAGTCAGCACATGGCTTAGACAAAACTACCAGTCTTTTAACTAGTTGGCCTACCCGTCCCACCCACTTTTTGAGACGCACTGTCACTCGGGCTGGAATACAGTAGAGCGATCTTTGCTCACTGTAACTTCTGCCTCCCGGGCTCAAGCAATTCTTTTGCCTCAAACCTCCCGAGTAGCTGGGATTACAGGCACTATCACGCCCAGGTAATTTTTTTGTACTTTCAGTAAAGATGAGGTTTTACCATGTCGACCCAGGCTGGTCTCAAACTCCTGACCTCATGATCCGCCTACCTGGGTCTCCCGAAGGGCTGGGATTAGAGGCCTAAGCCGCCGGCCCCGTGTCCACCTTTTGAGACGGAGTCTGTCGCCCGGGATGGAGTAGCAATGTCGATCTCGACTCAACGCCCCCTCCCACGCTTAAGTGATTCTACCTCAGCCTTCGTATTAGCGGAGATTACAAGTCCCCGCCACCATGCCCAGCTAATTGGCCTCAGATCATTCACCAGCCACACCACCCTCCCAAAGTGAGTGCTGGGATTAAGTGTGAGCCACTGCCCAGCTATTAAGTGCACAGGTCTTTCAGTGTGTTTGAGTGGCTCTGAAAAGAGCCTTTGGGTTCCGTTTACTAGGCAGACTTATTTCGAGCTGGTGTACTTAGTCACGGCCTTGGTGCCCTCGGACACGGCATGCTTGGCCAGCTCTCCCGGCAGCAGCAGACGCACTGCTGTCTGAATCTCTCTGGAAGTAATGGTGGAGCGCTTGTTGTAGTGAGCTAAGCGTGATGCCTCGCTCGCTATACGCTCAAAGATGTCAGTGACGAAGGAATTCATAATGCTCATGGCTTTGGAAGATATGCCAGTGTCCGGATGGACCTGCTTCAGCACCTTGTAGATGTAAATAGAATAGCTCTCCTTGCGGGTCCTCTTCCGCTTCTTGCCCTCTTTTTTCTGTGTTTTCACAACCGCCTTTTTGAAGCCTTTCTTGGAAATGGTGGCTCCTTTGGAAGATAACTCCGGCATGGCTGACCGCACACTTCTAGAGTGTTAACGGCTCTTCGGTGTTAAGCAGCTCTTTTAGAGTGTTAACAGCTCTTTTAGCGTGTTACAGCTCTTTTCTGCACAGCAC